AGCTGAAGTCCACCAGTCTTAAACTTGCCAAGTTGGAAGACCCTTGGTCTAGCATCTCCAGGACAGACCTGGAAAGCTCCCATCTGGAAGTTGGGGGCCTTTCAAATCTTTCTACCACCACGTCAGAAAAGGTCCTCTGGAGTTTTTCTATAACAGGTCCATCACAATTCACAAGTGATGGTCCTCTAAGAAGGACCTGGTGAATTGGAAGAAGCCAAAGCTGCTTTGAGATACCTCTGTGGGTCTCCGGTGGCCTGTCCTATCACGAATGGGTGAGGCAGGAGAGTTTGATAATATGGTTTTTTTATTATTTCTCTGGTGGGCTAATTCTGCTGTTTTTAAGATATTGGTCACACCTAGCCAAGCACTATCCATGACAATTAACCTAGAGATCAGCAATGGGATTCACACATTTTTACTACCAGTTCTGTGTCCATGGCTTGGGTGTGGTGTGGCTTGTTGAGCATGTCAGGGGAAGGATACTACAAAATACCATTCCCGCCCCACCCCACTAACCTGCTTTCCAGCTCCGTTCTCCTTTGCAGGGCAACCAAAGAAGACCCAGCTGATCAGCTGGGACTCAGGAGGCAGAGAATAGATAGTGGCAGGGCCAGTCAGAGGTGGCATTGGCCGGTTCTTTGAACTACACAAAATTTCCACTACCGGTTCTCCAGAACTGGTCAGAACCCGTTAAATACCACCTCTGCTAGAGATGCCATTTGGAAAATGGTTGGTTTTAATTTGACCTCCTTACACCACGGTTAACCTTCTTCTCCCCTTTTGATTTTTTTTTTTAAAAATATATTAATTTTGTTGTTGTTGATCAACCCAGCAGGCTGGTGTACGTTGCGAATTTTGGAAGGAGTGGGGTTTAAATCCTTGTTTCATTGCTTATAGTATCTGTCAGGCTGTTGTTTTATAATTATGTCAAACTTGAGCAGGGAGGGAGGAAAGCAACAAAAGAGTTGGGGTTTCTCTTAGTTTCTCGCTCGTTGCGTTCCTTCCAACTTTTTTGGGGGGGTGGGGTGTTCAACGCTCGCCCATCCATCTGGGATCCAAGAACCCAAGATTCAGCGAAACATCGGAATGGCATCCCCAACCCGAGCCGTGAAGCTAGCCCGGCCAGGAAGAGAGCCCAGCTGGCTTCTGTTCTCCTTCCACGCACGGTGCCAAATCCGTAGACTTGTTTTGGGCTTGGTTGTGGTTCTGCAGCAGGAAAAAGAAAAAGAAAACTCTGGAGGGATGATTAAACACACACACACAAACCCCCTCCGATTTTGCAAAAAAATAATAAAATGGCAACGAGGCCATGAGAGCATAATTCATTTCCAATGAAGAATTTTACAATGTCATCGTTGCAGACAAAGCATCCTTCTATCTCGGTGCAAAATTAGCATCCTTCTCAGTCCCCCAGCGCCTTCAGAAAATTTAATTCCCTATTTCTTTTTTTTTTTATTAACACTTTTTAAAATAGTTTGGGTCGCCACGGTGATCCACGCTTAAATGGCTTGCTTTTTTTTTTTTTTTTTTTAACGATGCTTCTTTCTGCCGTTCAATCTTCCCCTTTGGAAACAAAATAAAAGTTTTAAAAGGAAAGTTAAAAAAAAAAATAACTTGATGGAGGCAGCTGGCCTGCACTCTGGTTGTGAACCTCTGGAAGGTATTTCTTCCCACCCCGCTAGGTACGGATCAGGACGCCCCCTCCTGGAGAGGGATCCACTGGAGAGCAGATTTCTCCTTCACGTGATCTCAGGAGTTGTTAGAAGAAAACGCCATTTCCCTGTAAGCAACCCTTAAAGTTGGCTGGTTTTACTTGTTTCTTAGCTCCGTAGACGGAGCTGGTCTCTTAAAGGCACAATGATTTCTCGGACACCCAAAATTTTGTGGCTGTCCAGTTCTTTCCCCTCAATAAAAAATAAATAAATCTGATTTTTTTCCACCTAAGCCAACTTCAAAACTGCATAACCTTCCCTCTTCCCTTGCCAGCTTCTAAGGACAAAGATCCTTTTGCCCCGACTCCCAAAATCAAACGAACTTGGAATGTAAAAGAGTAAAGTTGAAATTCTTCACCATTTGCTTTTAAGAAGTGACGTTTTCTTAGTTGGCAGTTGCTTTTTAAGCCCATATTTTTCAGGGGGTTGTTAAGGGAGAAGAGATTGCGTTTTATTTTCTTGGAAAGCAAATGAAACTTTTTAAAAGAGATTCAAAAGGCACGCGCGATTTATATTCAGATATTTCTATAGCAGGAGAGATATTTTTGGGAAGAGAGAGAAAGAAAACGGACTATGCAAAATTTAAGGTAGAGAACTGCCAGAAGAGAGAGTTTTGATGTGTTCTGAACTTTGAAATCTGAAAAGTAGATTAAAACTGAAATCCTTAAAAAGCATTTATAGAAAAGATTTTTTTTTATATAATTTTTTTCCTTCCACCCACCCCTGCTGCTCCATTTCCAAATATATTTTCAAAAAGTGTTGGGCCCGGAGAAGAATCAGCCATAGAGCTGCATATTCTCCTGTTTTAACTCCTAGTATTTATCATTTTTGTATTGAATGCTGTGCTGTCTTCGATTCAGAGTCTTGTTTTGTATTCTCTGTTACCTGGTTCCTGATGTAGAGAAGCCACAGTTATAAAAGAAGAAGAAAAATCACTATAAAATCAAATGTAATGGTTTTGGGGGTGGGAAATAAAGATTGGGTTTTCTTTGGTACATCACAACGAGCGTCTGTGCTGTTCTTTTCGTTTTTTGCTGTCAAAATCTTGACACGGACGCACAAACACACACACACAGCTGTTCTCAAACCCTGGAGATTAAATGGATGCGATCGGGTGGGCTTCGAATTTTTTAGCAAGGGGCTCTCTGCCCTAATGACTGGCTGGGTGGGCCATGTCTAGGTGGTCATGTGACTGGGTGTATGTGGCCTAATTACCTTAAAAAGGATAATACACCCCAAAACATTTATTAAATACTTAAATAAAACACTTGGTGAAATCAGGCTTAATAGCAGTGACCGTGAGAGGGATCTTGGGAGACTTAGTGGAATTTCTGGTGAATGACATGATTCTTATTATTTGAGAATTAATCCCCTCGGAGGCTAGTGGCTAAGTGATCGCATTTTCTCCATGGCTCCCCCCTTGCAAGGGTTGAGTGGATTGCTTATCTAGCTTGCCACACTTTTACAAGGTGTGAAATGCTCTTGGCTGAACGCCCAGAACTTCAATTAAGCCTATTTAGAGCTTTCCCTTGCTGTTTTTCTGAAGTTATTGGGGGCTCTCCAAGCCCCCAGCAGTCCACCCCTGGCATGCAGTCAACAATTAAGTTTATTTTCCTGACATTATATAATCGCTCAGAGTCACCTTGAACCACAAAATGAACGGCATATAAATTTCAAAAATAAATCTGGAAATGGTTTGCTGTTGCCATCTTTGTTTTGTTTACCTGACTTAGTATCTCTCCTGACGGTATCCCACCCAGTAATGTATGTGTCACATCCACTTCTATATATTCTGACATTATTTTCATCAGGATTTTGGATAATCCACCTAATTCCTTGCCCCCAAAAGACTGACAAACCTATTGACTCAAACATCAACATTCTGTCCTTACATCTACAAAGACATAGCAGGTGAGGAGGAGGAATCCGTTTCAAATCACCTGCCAGCTACTAAGTTATTTCAATTTAAGTTAGGGAAGGCTGTCCTAACCTCTTCTGAGAATTGCGAGCAAGTAACACAATTAAGTATCAGAATTAAGCAAGGATAAATAATGAGAAACCACAGTCAATCCGTTGTGAATTGCCAGATCAAAATGAAAAGCCCGTTCTCATTGAAATATCTCCATGAAATTAAAATGCAGACCCTGCAAAGTGAAAAACAAAATCCATACACTGAACTAGAAAGCAGAAATGTTTTCATATTGGCTTTTTTTTTTTTTTAATGATCTGGGTAGATCAATCATGGCAAACCGAAGATAGGTAGATCCAATTCCAGAATTCTGGGAGTTAAATATTGCTAAAGTTGTGAAACTTAGATATTTGACCCAGGGCAAAAGGAATTAGATAAATTTTACCACTATGGTACAAAACAACGTTCATCACAGAAAAGGGAACGTATATATTTTATTAAAATGTGCAATGGTTAGGTATTTGCCCAAATACGTATTTATTTATTTTTTTGCTTTGCAGAGAAAGGTGCAGGGAATTGCACACGTATGAAATGCACCCCTGTATACACCCAAGACCCTGGATACATGATGTCGCCTAGTAGTGTTTTTAAAAAAACAACAATAAATTTTGGGGAGTTTGGAAAGCGTGGGTGTAAACACAGACACAGCCATGAACGTCTGCAGCCTGAATTTCCAAAAAATACCAGGGTCAAAATAAGATGACAGTGTAACGTGAGATTATTTGAATATACTCCCCAGATTTCAATGCAACCCCCACTGGGAGAAAAAAAAGGGGGGGAAACGGGAGAAAAAAAAGGAAATTTAAGAATCCATATTAAAATAGCAACTGATCCATTTTGGAGACTATGACAACACTTCCTCTTAAGAGCACTGTGCAAAACTACTTTAGATATATATATATAAATAAACTTTTATTAAACAAATTCTACAATTAAAAAACAATTAAAAATGTATTTCCATTCATTGCAGCACACACACAAAAACTGTGACCTTCACCCACTAAATATCCAGACAGTTGGAAAAACTGCATGGCTTTTCCCCCATGTCTGCCTTCCCCACCAAAAAAAATATATTAAAATTAAAAATTAAAAAAATAAAAATAAAGCAAGCCCGGAATCATTCCTGATCGTTTCAGTCTTCACTATTGAATAAGTCTTTGATTGTCCGGGGATTTATTTTATTTATTTTTTCCTCAATGTTTCAGGAAGTCCCAACTGGCTACGTGGGGTTACCCCTCTAGCACTTTTCTCTGAGCTAAACTCTACTGTCCGTGGGAACTTTCGCACGCCTTCTCCGCTCCTGATTGGCCAGCGTGGCCGGAAGGAGGTTAATCCTTAGTCAGATCGCAGAGCCAAGTTGCAGAAAAGAGAATTGGGGTTGGCGGATTGCAATGGTGAGGCACACTTTTTTTTTTCCTTTGATTTTTGCAAAGGGGACAGCCGGGTTGCTACCTTTTGCAAAACAATTGCAAAAGGCACAGGAGGGAGGAGAAGAAAGGGAGAAGTTGCAGTGTTCTGTGTTAAAAGTATGCGGTTTGTTTATTGATATTATTATTATTTTTTAATATGGAGTTGCCTGTTTCGATTTGGCTACACTGTCTCCAGTTGTGTCGCCTTCGGAGCGCCAAAAGGTTGCAAAACCCTCGCCGGATGGCGAGGTTTATTTTTATTTTGTGCGTTTTTGTTTAAAAAACGAACTTCCTTTTCTATTTTGGGATGAAATAAACATTTCTTCTTGCTTTTTGTGTGTTTTGTGCTGTTTTCAGGCCACGGTGAGTGACCAATTCGTTGGGTATGGCTTGGTGATCTTCAGCTTGGTTCTCTTCGCCTATTACACCGTCTGGATCATTATCCTGGTACGTCCTGAGTTTACATTAAGTTTATATCTCTTGTGTGCTCTTGTGTTGCTGTGGTTAAAGCTGAAATATTCATTAACTGGTAAGACGTAACATATGATAGAGATAGATAGATAGATAGATAGATAGATAGATAGATAGATAGATAGATAGATAGATAGATAGATAGATAGGAAGGAGAGATGATCGAGAGATAGGATAGACAGACAAAAGAGAAAGCGATATGATAGAGAATATATACAATGGATAGGTAGATGATTGCATGATGGATGGATGGATGGATGGATAGATGGATGAGAAAGAGAGATATGATGGGGAGGATAGATAGACAAGAGAAAAGAGAAATATGATATGAAGAGAGAATATATGATGGATAGATAAATGATAAACGATTGTATGATAGATCTATGGATGGATGGATGGATAGATAGATATGGATGTAGATGGTTGGATGGAAATAGGTAGATAGATAGACAAACAGACAGACAGATAGATGATCTGTCCTCTTAAAACAGCAATGAATAATCCAATTCCTCTTCACATGTTGAGGGATGAGAATAACCAGTAATTTAATTCAACTTATTCATTTATTAAATTTCTACCCTGTCATTCTCATTTAAGTGACTCTAGATGGTTTGCCACCACATAAATAAAACCATATAAATCTAGGAATAAAAGCACAGCTTAAAAAAATGTAGCTTATGAGCAGGTCCTTGGTGTTCTCTGGGCTCGGCTGTTTTCTTGCAAACGTTTCACAACCCAACTAGGTAACATCATCAGTGCTAGAAAATCCACCCAAAGTTGGTTTTTCCCAGTAGACACCACTGTGCTAACCTATTATCTCCAGAAAGTGCCTTAAGACTACTTTGCATTATCAACATATTCACTATCCCTGTGCTTCGCTGAGAAACTATGCGGTCGGGCTTCGTTTTGGGGGAGAAAAATAGCGGGGGGGGATTCTGCCTCTGCCTACCAGCATCCATTGGTATTCATCTGGCTAGCGTCCTGTCAGTGTGAGAGAGAGTCGAGGGCTGTTTGGAAACTGAAGCAGTATTTGCTGTGTGAGGAAGGAGGCAGCTAGGAGCCTGGGCGTGGCTTAGCTGAATTGTTCTGTACTAAAGCTGGTTGCTGCTGTGAAACTGAAACTAAAACTCCTCTCCTCTGCTTGTGTTTTGCATTTGGAAGAGATTTCTTTTCAGGTGGGGAGGGGGAGTAGAACTCCTTAGCATCAGAGCGTGTTAATAGTAATAATAATATAGGAAATACCCTAAATGCTCTGGTGGTCATTTCAAAAAATCCTTTCTTAGTGAGCCCCTAGAAGCCAAGAGGAACATACGGTTCCAATTTCAAGTTTGTAAGCTTTACGGTACTGGAGATTTTTTTGATGAAGCATGACTGGTATTTTGCTTTTTTATATATATATAGAAGATAAATTTCATAAATAATAAGACAACCTGCTATATTTCAGGGACCCGTGGAAACATTTTCCTCTGCTCGCTACTGATACGTTTTCTGTTCCCCTGCAGCCCTTCACTGAGAGCGACCACCTCATTCACAAGTACTTTCTACCCCGAGAATATTCAGTGATCATTCCTGTAGTGGCCGGACTGGTGTTGTTGCTATTTATTGGTGAGTTTCATCCCAGTTTGTGGGGCTTGAAAGAAGACAGGAGACCACTGAAAATGCTTCGTAAGGCTAGTTAGAAGGCCTTCCTTCCTTCCTTCGGTCTCGTCTGTCTCATCTGCCCTGCAAGAACCTCAACTTTTAATATGATATTTAACAGGCACAAGCTCTGGGCAGTCGAAATCAAAACCTAAGGAATGAAACCAACGTAAAAGGGAAAAAGAAGGAAAACCAGGCATCCAACTTATAAAGATATCCCTTTGTCTGTTTCAATCCTTACGGTCCCATCGCTTGTTAGTTGTTTATCCGTTTTGAGTTTTAATCAAGCATCCGAGATAGTCCTCAACTTACGACAGCAGTTGAGCCCAGCATTCCTGTGGCTAAGTGGGACATTTAAGGGAGAATATTTGTAGCTCAGGGTAGAGACGAAGGGGTCCTTGGTACTCTCAAGCAAGCTCAGAGCGCATCAAGTGAGACATTTGCTAAGTGAACTTTACCCTGATTTACGGCCTTTCTCGCCACAAAAAGAATCCCTGCGGGGGTGAAGTTACCCTATTTTCCCCCAAAATATGATCTATCCTGAAGGCCTCTGGAGCTGAGAACAAAAAGCTCTGGATCGATCCAGAGTCCTTCAGGAAAACCTTGCCACCTGCAGAAGAAGTTGCTGAAGGCCTCTTGACAGCAGAAAGGAGCCCAGGGAAGACATGCGCATGTGAGGTTAGTCAGTGGATGTCTTCCTCTGAAAATAAGATTTGGTGGCAAAAAAAATATATAAGACTGGGTCTTATTTTTGGGGAAACATGGTAGTAACACAGTTCTTAGGTGAATCCGACGTTCCCATCGACTTGGCTTGCCAGAAGGAACGCAAAAGGGGACCTACAACCGTCATAAATATGAGTCCATCTCGAAGCATATGAATTTTGATCGCATGACCAACGGGGAGGCTGTGACGGTCCTAAGTGCGAAAAACGGTCCCGAGTCACCTTTTCCCATGCTGTCGTAACTACGAACGGTCACTCAATGAACTCGCTGTAGCTTGAGTTTTAAATTTTAATTTTTCTGTTTGCGTTGGCCAGAGCGGTGGAAGATTTCTCCTTTTCTTTCTGTTTCTCTCCTCAGGAACTTTTATAACCATCGTGATGTGGAAGAATCAGAAATCGGACAAAAAGTCTGCCTGAAGAGAGAGAAAAGGGAGGAGGAAGATGGGAGATCCCTTGCAGGGTTCAGGTTGGGGGAATGGCGCAGCAATTTGCAAGATATTTTGGGAGCCAGGATTGATCCCATTATCCCCACCCCATCCTGGCACGGACCGAGTTTCCAAACTGTGAACCAACCTGCAGAGATCCCCACATATATGCTACCGAATACGAAATCCCAGAGCGAGTGTTTCACCCATTTTTATTTTTTTTTAAGGGTCCAAACTTAGCCTGGAAATTCGACTAGGACTGATGTTTACCAGGCACTGGTTCTAGTTGTGTTTTTATAGTTTTTTTAAAACAACAACAACAACACTGCTTTTCTCCTGCATCATCTCATGTGGTTTTGTGGTGCTTTGACTCTCTGGATTGCATTGGTCTTCTTCGTGCAAGCGGCCGCTCGAACGTATAACACACCCCTGAGGGATGGTAGTAGATCCTTCCAGAATCGTCCTTCGGTTTTGCCAGCTTAGGGAGAAAACTATTCTTGCCTCTTAATTTGTTATTCTTCATTTTTTAAAATTTATGTCTCGAGCCAAGTGACCCGTCAAGATGCTGTTAAGGTGGGTTAGTTGGAAACTTTGAATGACCCCGTTCAATGGCATTTTACAAACAGGGTTTACTCCTTTCTCCGAGAACAGGGGTGTCAAAAACTCGGTTTCATTGAGGGCCACATCAGGGTTATGTTTGACCTCCGGGGGGGGCAACAGGTGGGGTGTGACCAGCTCAACATCATTCATGTTGGAGGCACCTGTGGTGGCCCACTCACTTTGCCAGTGAAAACAGGCTCCCGAGCTCCATTTTGGACTGCAACGGCCTCCTGCATCCCTCTGTCAGAGAAAACAGAGCTTGGCAGGGCCTCCATTGAACTGGTTCAATTCCGAAGTTTCCAACCTTCACTTTCATTGCACTTTAAATTAAAAAAAAAAAAGCAAAGTGAGGAGGATTAATACGTGTGCGTTTGCATTAATAATTCAGATAAGATTCTGAAATACAGACATGCATTCCGGGATCACAAGACGGATCCTCTGTTTAAATGTTCCCCACTCCACCCCAGAAAAACTACATATCTGGATCTCGTTTTCTGCAATGTAGATGCATTCCTCAGTATTCAAAACTCAGTTTCCTCCCTTCTGGGCCTGGTTATGCAAAGAGGTCTGACAATAAAATGTTTTTCTTGTATTGATTTGTTGTTGTTTTTTTCCCCCGCCACCTCTTCTGCTTCTGTGTGATTCTTGGCGCTTTGTCGGAGAATAAAAAAGGTTAAGAAGTTTGTGTGTGGTTTTCAGAAGGGCTGTTCCAGGCCTCTTCCTTATAATCCATTTTCATTTTGCAAAATCAGTTTCTGTTTTTTAATAAAGAGGACACCCAGCGAGCAGAATCCTGCCCTCTGGCTGAATCAACGAATGAAAGAGATTCTTAAACTCTTATAAGAGTGTTACCTGGAAACGCGAAGGTCTCCACTGTTGATGCTGCGTTGTCTAATATTGTAAGAGGTGGTGGAATAGGAGGGCTTCTCCTAAAATCTACCCGATCTGTTGTGTTGGACGTGTAAACCTCCCCTGGTCTTTGTGGATGGAATCCTGGCAGGATCATTGACTGACGGTTAAACATCTGCTAAGCTTTCCCACTGGGTTCCATAGTTTCTAAGGAGACCAGAACCATCAAGCGATCTCTGGTTGATTTCACCTTGGCTCTCCGGCATCATGGATTCGATGATGCAAGTGAAGGTATCTCTGAGAATCTTATTTTCCTCCATCCTTTTCCCCTTGTGCTGTTGCCTCTCTAAAAGGCAAGCCGTGGGTCTCTTTCTCTCTCTGTCTCTCTTGATCCCCTTGCCTCGCGGCTTGGCTAACACTGCCCCCCCTTCGGCCTTGCAGTCCAGTGTCTCGTACCGGCGGCCTTACAGGACCTGGTCAGCCACCCAAAGGATGCTCTGCCGAGTGCGCCAGCAATGGAAGATGCAGGGCTTCTTTGAAATCAATGAGCAGCATGATTTTTTTCAATTCACCCGTATGCTCAAACAAGGGCTGAAGGCCTCCATCCAGAAAACCATCGATGAACCAGCGAGCATGGTAAGTTCCAGAAAAAAAACACGGGGTCGTCCCCCCCCCACTCACCCCCAATCCTTCCAGATTAGACTGTCCTAGAGACTTAAGAACAGCTGCAGGATTTGGGTATGGCTAGCCTAGAGAAATGCGGTGGCTCAAGCGGCTAAGACACTGAGCCTGTTGATCAGAAAGTTCAGCGGTTCGAACCCCCAGCGCCGCGTCACAGCGTGAGCTCCCGTTCCTCATCCCAGCTTCCGCTAACCTAGCAGTTCGAAAGCATGTAAAAAAAAAATGCAAGTAGAAAAATAGGGACCACCTTTGGTGGGAAGGGAACGGCGTTCCGTGTGCGCCTTTGGTATTTAGCCATGCTGGCCACATGACCACGGAGACGTCTTCGCATAGCGCTGGCTCTTTGGCTTTGTAACAGAGGTGAGCACTGCCCCCCTAGAGCTGGGAACAACTGGCACATATGTGCAAGGGGAACTTTTACCCTTACCTTTATAGTCTAGAGAAAAGAAGGACTAGCGGGGACATATTAGACAGCAGACGGCAAGAGGCCAATGTGGAGGCAGAGATTAAACATTTAGATTAAACATGACTGATGTAGAGGGATATACAAGATCCCAAGGGAGGAGCAAGGGTTAAAGCCGATTAAAAAGCTGATTAAAAAGTCAATAAGAGTTGAAATACTAAAACAAACGAGATGATGGATAGATCTAGAATACATCTTAATATGGGATTAGTTTTAGTAAAGACTAAAAAAAAATAGAGCTAGAAATTAAAAATTGGGGAAATGTTACTATGCATACTGTGATAGGATAGAAGCTATTTTAGTTCATATGTATAAGCAAATGTTAGAAGGGAAGATTACTATGATAGAGGCTTAAAAAGTAAAAAACAAATAAGGGATGATGGATAGATGTATAATACCTCTTAATATGGGAATTGTTATGTCAGAGTCTAGTCAGAAGACGCAGAAAGTAGAAATCCGAAAAAACACTATTTTATATTCTGCCACAAAATAGACTACATTATAATTATAATGTAAGCTGAAAGTATTATGTACATTTACTTAAAACCATTATTGTTATTAAGATTTTGTATAAAGTAAATTAACGTGTGTGTGTATATATATGTATGTATGTATGTGTATATATATGCTGTATATACTTGTAAATTTTCATGGGTACAGGTATGCAGGTCTTGGCGTGTTCGGGTCTTTTCCCATGTAAGATTGACAGTATCTTGGCAACGTTTTGATGAGGTCCCACTTGCCATCTTCAGGCTGATGCTTTCGGCTTCGTGCTTGTGTGCAAGCAAAGCGTGATTGGAGCTGCCGTCTCTCTAAATAAATACTGGTGGGGATTTGGTTGTGTTGTTATTTCTTGATTGGTTGATGGAGTTGATGTTTGCAGATTGGTTGGCTTTTTCGTAAGATTCTCCTGTTGGTTTGCCCAATGTATGTGGCTGGGCAATTGTTGCATGGTATTTCATAAACTCCTTGGTTTTCTAGCTGGATCTTGTCTTTGGGGTTTCTTAGGATGTTGGCTATTTTTTGGTCAGTGCCGAAGGCTGTCCTGATATTGTGTTTGTGGAGAATTTTGTGAGAATAAATGCACGCATCGCAGAACACAAGAACGCAGTCAGAAAGGAAGAAAATACTTCCTCCCTTTTCCAGCACCTTAAAGCCAATTAATGAAATTAATTTTGAGGGAACCAAATTAATCTCCAATACTGAACACTTCAACAAGAGAATAATCAGGGAAGCCATTGAAATAGAGAAACATCCCCATAACATGAATAAACGGGACAATGCCTCCCGCCTACCAGACATCTGGAAACTGGCACAAGACCCTGGATGTCACAACAATAGAACGCAGAAGGTCATCACACAGCCCATTACCCAGGTCATTACAACACAGGAGGCTGATAGACACACAGCCAATACCTCAGCCACACATGTTCTTACAAAAAAGCCAACCAATCTCCAATCAACTCCATCAACCAATCAAGAAATAACAGCACAGCCAACCAGCCCGCTTACAACAGAGCCAGCACACCACACCTCCCCACCAGTATTTATAGAGAGACAGCAGCTCCGATCACGCTTTGCTCGCACAAACACGAAGCCGAAAGCACCAGCCTGAAGATGGCGAGTGGGACCTCGTCAAAACGTCGCCAAGATACTCTCAATCTTACACAGGAAAAGACCCGAACACGCCAAGGCAGGTGGTTCGGGAGGAAAATAAGGGAAGAAAATTCTGCCTCTGCCTACCAGCATCCATTGGTGTTCATCTGGCTAGCATCCTGTCAGTGTGTGAGAGAGTTGAGACTGTTTAGAAATTGAAACAGTACTTGCTGTGTGAGCAAGAAGGAGACAGCAAGGAACCTGGGTGCAGCTTAGCTCAACTGTTCCGTATTAAAGCTGTTTGCTGCTGTGAAAGTAAAACTGAAATTGAAACTCCTCCGCTTGTGTTTTGCATTTGGAACAGATTTCTTTTCAGGTGGGGAGGGGGAGTAGAACTCCTTAGCCATCTACCTATTCGCCAAAGCACCGGAGGGCAGGACAAGAAGCGACAGATGGAAACTAATCAAGGAGAGAAGCAACCTAGACCTTAGGAAAAAATTCCCCGAAAGGAAGAACAATTAACCAGTAAGCTACGCTACTGGTTAATTGTTCTTCCTTTCAGGGAATTTTTCATCATTGGAGGTTTTATAAGAAGAGACTGGATAGCCCCTTGTCCGAGATGGTCTAGTGTCTCCTACTTGAGTAGGGGGCTTGAACTAGAAGTCCTCCCAAATCCCTTCCAGCACTATTCTGTACATATATAAAAACACTTTCCTGGGAGTCATAGCAAGGGGATCTCTGAGGACGTTAGATTTCCATGACTGTTGAGAAGACCAGGTAAGAATGGAAGTCCTACCAACTCCATCATTCCTTCTCTCTTCTCTAGGAATCGCAAAGGCCGTCTGATTTTACCAGGGTGCTTAAGCAGACCCACGAGGTAAGAACAGCTGGATTTATATTCTTAGCCGATGAACCTTGGAAGCAGGATGAAGCGTGCACTGAGCAAAGAGATGGGCGAACGATCTTTGACCCCGCAAGCATCTCAATCTAGAGTCATTGTCCGAACTTCCACCTCACTGCCCGTCGGTGGGGTGGGGAGGTTGGAAGGGTGGACAAGGCCTTGGGGGGGAAAGTGAAACTGAACCGTGAGAATAGTTCTCTGTGAGAATCGATGATGTCTTCAAGGTCCTTTCGCTGGGAAGAAGAACGCCAGCGGCAGGTAGAGTTTCGAAAACATCTCTTTTGAAACAGATTGGACAATGAGAGAGACCAGCAATGGGTCTTAAGGGTAGAAAGTTATCTGGGAAAATTTGGCTCTGTTTTTTTTTCTTTTGCTACTGTCATTCACTTGACTTCTAGTGAACGATACCTTTATCGATCCGTCCTTCAACCCAGGGAGGCAAACTGAAGATCAGGCCTCCTCCGTTGACCTTCTCTGTCTGCCCCTTGAGGTGATTCTCCAGCTTGGTTCTTCTGCAGGGTTACGAGATGAGGACCTACGCAGCTCCCGTCTTTTCCCGTTTCCGGCAGTATCTTGGCATGGCGGACACGGATTTCCAAATGTCCTTGACGTGTGAGAGCGCCTACCTGCAGTTCATCAGTAACTCTAAAAGCCAAGCTGACTTCTTCCTCACGTAAGGCCTGGGAAGGGGGAATCCCAAGCAGATACATTCATTTAAAAGGTCTTGTACCGGAGAGGAACGATAACCATACCAAACTACATTAATGTTGTTCTATCTATCAAAGATCTATCTATCCATTCTTCCACCTACTCAATTTATTGCCTGTCTGTCTGTCTATCATCTATTTATGTATGTATCCATCCAGTTTGTCTGCCTATCATCTCTCTATGATCTACTTATCTATTAGTTATCGTCTATCCATCTATCTATCTGTCTATCTTATCCATCCAACCATCCATAATTTATCTGTGTACCATCTATCTATAATCTACCTATTTATTAGCTATCAATCATCAATCAATCAACCTATCTCTATCCATCCATACACCTACTCAACCTTCCATCCTTCCATTTGGCATGTCTGTCTGCTAACTGTCTGTCTGTCTATCTGTCTATCTATCTATGAGGCACCTAATTAGCTAACTATCATCTATCAGTCTATACCCATCTATCCACTCTCAGCTTGTCTGTCGATACATACATACATACATACATACATACATACATACGTCCATGTATCCATCCATCCATCCATCTATCTATTTATCTATCATCTATCAGTCTATATCCATCTACTCACAGCTTGTCTGTTGGTCCGTCCGTCCGTCCATCCATCCATCATCTATGCATCTGTCTGTCTGTCTGTCTATCTATCTATGATCTACCTATCATTAGCTATCTATCATCTATGAATCTATATCCATCCATCCATCCACAGTTCATCTGTTGGTCTGTCCATTCATCCACCCATCCATCATCCATGCATCTGTCTGTCTATCTATTATCTATCTATCTATCTTTCTATCTATCTATCTATCTATCTATCTATCTATCTATCTATCTATCTAATCTATCGTCAATTCCCCACTGTATTATTGTTTATAAATAGTAAAATAAGATGAAAAGTGGGAAGGGAAAAAAACTTCTAAAACAATATAGACTTATTTAATTCCTGACTTTTCCCTCCTCCTTTGACCTCCAGTCAACACACAGTATTGACTAACATCCTTTCAATGAAAGTTTGTGTTGTTCTTTTCGAGGAACACATCAAAAGCACATCAAGAAAAGCCGCGGTCCTTATGGAAAAGAGAAGGACCCCCTCCCATCTTCCTTGGCCGTAGCCATTTCTTCTCCCCTTGGTTTGACAGGTTTGACAAGCGCTTTTTCCTGAAGACACAACGGAAACGCGAGATCCGGTTCCTCCTCACCAACCTGTCGAAATACCTGGATCACATGGAGAGATACCCACACTCCATCCTTGTGAAATTCCTGGGTAAGGCTGGTCAACTCAACGAGTAGCAGAAAAGAAACAAAAAATGGTTTCAGAGGAAGAGCTGCCTCTTCCTCTTCCAAGTATTTCCCCTCTTGCTCTGCCCCACAGGTGTGTACAGCATCATTGCCCCTCAAGAGAAGAAGGTAGGCCGCCTTCAACCTGCAGCCCAAATTTGCACTGTGTTATCAAATTCCTCTTAACATGGATCAGCCGTGACCAGCCCACTTCCAAAAACTCATCACTCTCATTTCCATCTCATTTCTTCAGAGAGACAGAGACAAAGAGTTAGAAGGAGACAGAGAGAAACATAGAGAAAGACAGGACAGAAAGAGAAAAGAGAGAAAGAGAGAGAGAGAGACAGATAGAGAGGGAGGGAGGAACAGGGAGACAGGAAGTGAGGGAGAGAAGAGAGGGAGGAAGAGAGGGGGAGAGGGACAGAGAGAGACGGGAACAGAGAGAGAAAGAGATCTCAACACTCTCATTTTCCTCTCCTTGTTTCTTCCAAGGGAGGGAGGTAGAGAGATTTTCACTGGGGGCTGGTCTTCCTCTGGGGTATCTTACCTCCCCATTATTTTGATGGCTCTTGAGAATCAAAATTGGCTTTTGACCCTTCAACTCTTCCATCCGGTTCAACCTGCTCATCCTTTCTGTTTCTCCCTGTAGAGATACTTCATCATCATGCAGAGTGTCTTCTATCCACATGAGAGGATTACTGAACGGTGAGTTTTCCACACTGGCTCTGAGAGATGGAAGATGGCTGAGCTTGGCTGAAGATGAGATCCATGGGTCTGTCCTTGGATGAATGGATGGATGGATGTTTGGTTGATTGGTTGGTTGGTTGGATGGATGGATGCATAGATCATTGGTTGGATGGCTGATGGTTGGTTGGTTGGTTTGATGGATGGATGGACAGATGGTTGGTTGGTTGGCTGGCTGGGTGATGGTTGGATGATTGGTTGGTTGGTTGATTCGTTGGATGGATGGATGGATGGATGGGGGGTGGATGGGTGGATTGTATCTCAGAAGACTCAGTTATTCAGTTCAGTGCCATAAACATATTCCTTTAGGACTGGATTCCAAGCAGAGGTCTTCTAAGCTTTGCTTTTAGATCTCTTTGGGATAAGATGTAGAACCTCTTTACCATCAACCAATGGTGAAGGCCATCACCCATCTTACAGATGGGTGGACTTCAACTCCCAGAAATCCCCTGAATTCATAGCCACCGCTAAGAATTCTGGGACCCTCACCCATCTAGATGTTATCCAGGCTGAGGAACCTCCTATCCTTTCTACAAACTTGAATCCACACGGATTGATGTTCCTGATTTCATTTGTTCCTCCAGGTATGACATCAAAGGGTGCCAAGTCGGACGCTGGACAGAGCCCACTGTAGACAGCAGTGAAGTCATTATGGTTTTTAAGGACAATGACTTTGGAGACAAGGTGATCTCCCTTAGTAAGTTTCTGCACGCCACAATTCATGTGATCTGAAATCTTGGATCAGTTGAGATGATATCCTCAAATTCTACAACTGAACCCATGCAAGATATTTAACACTGGCTAAGAATGTCTGAAAAAGGGACACGGTGGCTCAGTGGCTAAGACGCTGAGCTTGTTGATCAGAAAGGTCGGCAGTTTGGCGGTTCGAATCCCTAGCGCCATGTCACGGAGTGAGCTCCCGTTCCTTGTCCCAGCTTCTGTCAACCTAGCAGTTCGAAAGCATGTCAAAAATAAATGCAAGTAGAAAAATAGGGGCCACGTTGGTGGGAAGGGAACAGCGTTCCATGCGCCTTCAGCATTTAGTCATGCCGGCCACATGACCACGGAGACGTCTTCGGACAGCACTGGCTGTTTGGCTTTGTAACAGAGATGAGCACTGCCCCCTAGAGTATGTGCGAGGGAAATCTTTACCTAAGAACATCTGTGGCCGTAATTCCGGGTTTGAATATCAGGCCAAGATGAATCCTAAATGTGATTTTTTTTTTTACTTCTTGATGATGTCACCCATTAAGTTGTGTCTGACTCTTGCCAATTCCATGGTCCAGGTCTCTCCAGATCTCCTACTTCGAGTTGTTCTATGCTCTGACTGGTACCAGCTTTGACGGCGTCCAGCTATCGTGTCTTTTGATTGAATTCCAGATAAATCAAGTCTTACATAGAGTAGCACATGGACTTTCCAGCTGTTTCTTACTATTACTACTACTACTACTACTACTATTATTATTATTATTATTATTATTATTATTATTATTATTATTATTATTCGGTGGCCTGGAGCACGCTTAGAATGGGAAGCCTTTCTAGTTCCAAACAGCTATTTGGAGCATGGGAGCTTGGCACTCAAATTCTCTAGAACTCAGAACATTTCCAATAAAAACAGAACAATTTTAGGATATTCTTGGTAAGATCGGAGCAATCTGATGGGAACATTACAGGCTGAGAACGTTTTGTATCCAGGTTCTGTGTTTTCAAGAGGACTCGGGGTGCCAACATTTGGAGGGTACAAGGGCACCTGCGTTCTCAGGAGGTGGGAGAGCTGATCTGATTCTGGAACCCTTGGGAGATCTCACCCCTGCTTTCTGGGCCCTCTTAGTCCAGAGGACATCAAGCCTCTCCCCTTCTCTCCTCCACCCAGATGAAGACCAGACCTGGTTGCTGCAGCAAGTGAAGTTGGACACCCAGTTCCTCAAAGCTTTGCATGTGATTGATTACAGTTTGCTGGTGGGCGTGCAACCTCTCCATGATGATGACCGGTTCCTGAACGACACGCTGGGAAATATATTAGCCAGGACGAGATTGTGAGAGTTTTGCCCTAGTGGGTGGGTGGGTGGGTGGGTGGAGCCCCATGTGGAACACTCTGAATCTTGGCTTATAAATAATAATCAAAACCAAGGTAATCCCATTAGCCTCAACGTCATCAGAGGTTTGCAGGATCGGATGGCATGAACATGCTATGGTTGGTTGGCTGATGGCTGGATGGTTGGTTGGTTTGATGGATGGATTTTTGGTTGGTTGGTTCACTGCCCGGCTGGCTGGCTGGCCGATGGTTGGTTGGTTGGTTTGATGGAAGAATGGATGGTTGGTTGGTCGCTTGGGTGTTTGGCTGGTTGGATGCCAGTTTGTTGGTTGATGGTTGCATGGCTGCATGGATGGTTCGTTGGTTGGCTGGCTGGCTGGCTGGTTGATGGATGGATGGATGATTGGTTGGCTGGCTCATTCATTCTCTATCCTCCAACACCTCAGAATTACTTCATACCTTAACCCAGTGTTTCTTAACCCTGATATCTGTATGGACATCAGCTCCCAGAATTCGCCATCCAGCATGCTTGAAGATGGGTAGATATCAACTCCTAGAATTCCCCAGTTGTTAAGTTAGTTAGGAACATTGTTGTAAAGCAAATCTGGCTTCCCTGTTGACTTTGCTTGTCAGAAGGTCCCAAAAGGGGGATCACATTACCTCCTGGGATGCTGCACCCACCCTAAATATGAACCAGTTCCCAAGCATCCGAATATTGATCTCATGATCATGGGGATGCTACCCATGTCGTAATTGTGAAAAACAGTCCTAAGTCACTTTTTTTCAGGGCCAGTCTCACTTCGAATGGCCGTAAGCAAAGGCACCTGGGACACAGGTGCGCCTGACCTTCCTTTTTCCCCCCCTCTTCCACCAGGTCAGTCAGCTATGACTATCCTCGCCGCCACATTGCCAGAGCTACCTCCAACTCCTCGTCCAGCAGCTCCAGTTCTGACCAGATCCTCCGGCTCTACCCCGATTACTTGCTGTCCTACTTGAAACCCGACCGGCCTCCGGAGCAGTTGATCCAAAGCGAGGGTTTCATGCATAATGTTGTGACGCCATTCCTGATGCAGAGCAGCTGCGAGGACATGAGTTGCACCGTGGGCCGCGCGCTCTATTCCTCCAGCCTCTCGGATTTATCCAGCGCGTCCTTTGCCGCGCAGCATCGACGGATCCTCCCCCACTCCAAAAACCCTCTACACACAATTGATGGGCCGGACTACCGCTATTACGTAGGCATCATTGACCTCTTCACGGTCTACACTTTCCGCAAAAAACTGGAACACTTGTGGAAGAGCATCCGTTACCGGGGCCAGCAATCTTCCACGGTGGAACCTTCTTGCTATGCCCAGAGATTGTGTCAGTGGGTGGAAAGTCACACTATATGAACTGGAACAGAGGCGATGGGCCAGTTTTTAGCTGAAAGTCGGACAGTAGCCCTGTCTCTTTTTGTAGGTTCTCCCGGTCCCTGCAGATCAGTATTCATGTTTCAACACCAATCACCTCTTGTGGTGGTTCTGATGACCTCTTGGCTACCATGAGATGGAGCTGCGTGAAATTTCCCTAGAAATAGGCCACTTGGCAAGCAAGGACAGGGGGCAGGCGGTTTTCCACGGAGCATGGAAGTTCTTGAGGACATCTCGGTGGTGGCTTTGCAAAAACCAGGTGGACACCTCAGCCCCACGGACATTGCAATCAACGGCACTGAATCCCTCAAACTCTGAGAGAACAGCACAGGGGGGGAGGGTACCACCCAGTCTCCTCCCAAACAAGCCATGTCCTCCTGCAACCGTGATCTGCCAGATCTGTAGAAAAAGAACAGTTGGTGCAGTCCATCTTGGTGCCCTGTAGGCCAACCCAATCCAGGCAGGCACGGGGTGGGGTGGGGTTAATCAAGAGCTCCTTCCTCAAAGGATTTAAGGTCCCAAACCCACGAGGGGCGGAGAAGGGAGGAGAATTTGGATTGTGAGAAGAATAAAGAGTTTCCAGAGAAAGGATTGGACTGGTTCTTTAAAGCACACCTTGAAAGTTCTCTCAAGGATGGCTTCAGCCTGTCTTAAGTCTTCTTCCTTAGTGACCTCCCTGGCCGGAGGTATCCATCTGTCTCAGAAAGGGCCCGTGGTGGTCTTGATGCTGAATGATGGGGCCAAGCTGACTTTGAGGGAGCTCTTCAGGGGTGAGCTTCAAAAATTTTAGCAACGGGTTCTCCGACTGATCGCTGGGTGGATGTGGCCGTGGTGGGCGTGGCCTAGTCAGCCTCCTGCACCACGGTGGTGGGAGGGGTGTTTTTGCTTTCCCCGGACTCCGGAGGCTTTCCTCGAGCCTCCAGGAGGGCGAAAATGGCCTTCCCGGACTCCGGAGGCTCTCTGGAAGCCGGAAACGGGCCTGTTTTCAGCCTCCCCGAACTTCCGGGAGGCCCGTTTTTTGCCCTCCCCGAGCCTCTGCACGCACCCTTCATCCAAAACGGGTCACGTGGGAAATCCTGGGAGGGGCAGGCAGGAGTGGGATTCGGTGGTTCTCCGAATTGCGCAGAATCTTAGCTAGGGGCTCTCCCGACCCCCCAACAGCCCACCTCTGGAGCACTTTGGCCGTTCCCCCCAATTTCGTACCATTCCTTCATCTTCTCCAAGGGCCATTCAGTTGTCTCACCTTTCCACCCAAATTGACAAGAGGCCACCATCCCGGGACAGCTTCTGGCAGTCGTCCGAGGAGCCACCATCAGTCCCATCCTCCCCATGTATTTGGCTGAAGCTTTGAGCAACAGAGGTTTTGCCCATGGCCTTCCTTGTATTCCCAATGCTAAACCTGGTTCAAGGAGACCTGAACCTCAAGAGATATTGGCTTGGAGAACCAAGCTAAGAAGAATTGAGTCTAGTAGCACATAGGGGAAAGCTTCTCTTCCAGGTCTCCTGTACGGCAGCAATCACCTGCACATCATACCTGTCCAGTGTCACACTGTCTTTCTGCTTAGATGGTCTACAAAAAGGAAGCGAGGGAGGAGCTGTCCCTTCTGCAAATCACCTGTTTTCTCAGGTTATAAGAGAAGGACTCAAGAGTGATGTCATGGCTTAGAGGTGGAGCTCTCACCTCACAATCAGGAGGCTGTGAGTTCAATCCTAGGTGGAGGCGGATATTTCTCTCTCTGGGCACAATGAGAATATAACTGCTGAATATGACTCCTCATTGGTGACGGGAAGAGCATCTGGCCAGTAAACACTTGGCTCAATTCAGTTGCTTAGATTCCACCCCTCAAGGGATTACGGGGTCATTAAAAGAAGATGATGATGATTATGATGATAAGAGAAGGACTCAGCTAAGTCAAGAGCTCTTGGGTGTTGAGCTGATGGATGGCTCATGAAAGTGGGGATAGATGCACTGCACCTCGACAGATATTTTGCATAGGATGAAGGTGTCAATGTGCAAAGACCAGCCGTGGAAGGAAGAGAAGTTTGAAGAAACAAATATCAGCCTGAGCGTCAACAGGAGTTGACCTTTGGAATGACAGCCATGGACATGTTGAGGTTCCTCCCAACCACGTTTTATGTGTTAGGTCAACAAAACCCATGAATCTCCTAAAACCAGGCGACCAATATGGTGCCCACTAAGTCCTTGGACTTAGATGGCCATTGCTGCCAAATAGCCCCCATAGGACACGGGATTTGGGGATCCACAGTCCAAGGCATCTGAAAAGCTAGAGCTTGTTGTTTAGGGTGTGAAACCCCAGAGGGGCACAAGAGGGCAGCAAAGCAACACGAAGAAAGAGATTCCTTTGGTGCCCTCCTGTGGTTTTCTTCAGTTTTACCATCCTTGGAAAAATAAGTTAGCCATCATGGAGATTAGCCGGGTGTCGGCAACCCGCAGCTCTGGAGCCGCATGCAGCTCTTTGAGCCCTCTGCTGTGGCTCCCTGTTGGGTGATCCCACCATTGGCTGGCCCCGCCCATCCCCCCCCCCCCGTCACTCCTCACCTGGTAAAACACAAAAAAACAGAAATGAGAGGGAGGGAGAAACCCACTTCCCACAGAAAACACTGGGAGCCACAAAATCTAAGTGGGCGTGGTGGGGTGGGTGGTCATGTGACTGGGTGGGAGTGATGTCCATTTGGCCACGCCCATCCAGGTTTTGAGGCTCACGGTATTTTATTTTTTGTGGGAAACGGGTCCAAATGGCTCTTTGAGTGTTTAAGGTTGCTGATGCTCTGAGCTAAGCCAACAAAATTAAGAGGAATTGCACGGCATGGGGTGGAAGAGCGTATGTAATCTGGGTTTACACATCTTGAACCACAAACATATCTACCTGACCCCTGCTTAGTGTCTTGTGTGAACTGGGCCCCTAGGAATGATGCCTTGAAGTTTGTTGGTTGGTTTGTTTTTGTAAAAAAGTTTTTTTTTATTTTTTAATTATTTGAATACATCTTTGAGAGAACAGTGTGGTTCCAGGTCTTTTTACATTTTAAATGCATCATATCCACAATCACAAACCCAGCTTTCTAACATCCCATCACTATCTTTTACCAAATTTTCTTCTATATATTCTCAGATTAACTTGATATCAGTCTCTTTCTTTTTAATCACTCTCTATCATATTACCGTTTAATATATTCACGTCAATTCATTACTCATTCAAAATGTCATCTTCATTTCTATCATCTCCTTCCCAATATTATATTTGCCATTGTTGCATTTATTTCTATTTTCTCAATGCTCCCTTCCCTCTCACTTCTCGTTTTTGCACAACTGTATTTTCCATCTTATTTTTTTTTTAGCAGATGCCTTTAAGCTGATGCCCAGCTTTGCTTTCCATCCATGTTGGGTTTTTTTTTTTCCACGCTCTGCGGCGGGCCGGCAGTTGCACAAACCCTGGTTTGTCTTGTCTCCTGCCCACTCGTCCCTAAATCTGGTCCCAACCTCCTCTCCCCGGCCCTGAGAGCTTAACCAACCCTTTCTTCCACGGAAGAAAAGGCCGGCACGCAGAGCGCATTGAACAGCCGATTGCCCCCGTGCGCCCTGGCGCCGCGCCTCTTAGCCTGACCTTGCCCGCGGAGAGGAAGTCGGGGGGAGTCCAGAGCCGCCTCCCGACTGGCAAAGAGGGGGGGCGGCGGTGGGTGGGGCGTGGGGAGGGGGTCCGAGGCGGAGCCTGAGCTGCTTTGCAGAGCTCTTAAAGAGGTCGCGGCTGGGCTAGCTGGAGATTAAACGGGCTCTCCAGCGCCGGGCGCGTTTGGAGAGGTGGTCCATGCGCGCGCGATGCTTGCGGGTTCCCTTGGCCGGGCTGGTAAGTGGCTGCTTGGCGAGCCGAGGCCCGTCTGCCTGGAGCCGGGGGAAGTCCCCAGGAAGGCGGAGAGGCCCCCTCCGCTCCGACTCCCCCCACCAACCTCCCCTTGCTATCCTCGCCTTATTTCCCAGGACGCGCCCTTGGCGCTCGGGGGTCTCCCCTGGGGCGCGCGCTCGGCTGGCAAAAGAGCCTGCCCGCCGCGTCCTCTCCACCCCGCGGGGTTCCTTTTGCGCATCCCCCTGGCGCCCTCCTTCCCTTGGCATCGGCTCCGCAGCCCTCGCCGCCTCCTCGGCGGCTTGCCAGCAGAGGGAAGGAGCCTCCTTTTCCCCACTGCCATCCTGCGGAGAGGAAACCCCTTTCCCCCGCTCAGTTTTGGCCCTCGGGGGAGACTCTGGGGCGTGTGCAGAGCGTCCTTCTTAGTTCTTCTGCCCGCCTGGCCCTGACTTCTGGCATCCGCGTGGATTCTGGGTGGTTAAGCGGTTAAAAATCCTTGTTAGGTGGATTTTATTTTTATTTTTTTGGTTAGGGAAGGGGACAAAATTATTCCTAACTGAAGAGGGATGCTAATCCATGGCTCTTCTCTTAAGAACATTGTGAAAACAGCACCCTGTGGCTTGCCAGGTGTCCACGGAGTTACAACTCTTAGCATCCTCTGCTGGGAAGAGAAGGGTTTGCTGGGAATCATGGCTTAACCAGCAAAAACGTGGCCTGTTTCCTGGCCCTGAATGAGCAAAGTTGGAATTCCCCCATTGGCCACCTGACTTCATTCATCTTCAGTTGTGTTGATGTTAAACTAGCATAGTTGTCAGGGGAAGGGGAAAATATGATGGAATAGTTTTGTGTTTTCTCTCATTGTCACCAAGTTACAACAGAGCTGGGGTTGTGATGAAATCTACAGGCAGCCAAGGAAGTTGGTTTTGAACTAAGACTTGCAAAATCAAATACTCTGCCTTTCTTTGTTCTTGCTAATCCATTTACCTATTTGGTTGCGGGTGATAGATCCCTTGGCTAAAACCGGTCCATTCTTTTATTGCTTTTTTAAAAATCACAAGGTCCTAACTCCGGCCACTTGGGTGGCACACTGAAATCTTTAATAGCTGAAATTTCATAATGTTGTCAATAGTTTCTTCAGATGCCTGTTATGACTTGAGGATACTGATCTGTTATGGTCTCAGCGGAATGAATGGATAAGTCATCCCAAAGGGTGCTTTATCCTTGGACTTTCTTGTTGTTGTTTTTTCCATTAAATAAATCCTTCGGTTTCCTCACCTGTCAGTTAGAAGTGAGGAATCTTCTTGGATGAGAAGCGAAATGTTTTCAAAGAGAAAAACAAAAAACAACCCAGGAAAGTCCAGTTGTCTTTTAGAAAACAGCACTTTTGGGACAAGCAACACCTGGATGAGTGAGCATCTCTGTAAACAATGGAGAAGTCACCTCTGGAATCGCTCACCTGTTTGTCTCTTTGTAGGGCTGTTGTCCCAGAAATCCAAGCCAGATACATGGCTGAAAACTCCTTAAAGGATGCAAGTGCTTGTAAGTATCCAATGGCTCTGAAATTTCCAGAGATCTGCAGGGCCCGTTATTCTATAATGCCTTGTTAAGACCACTTGAAATACTGCATGTAGTTTTGGTCGCCACATAATTAAAAAAAAAAAATGCTAAGACTCTGGAAAGAGTGCAGAGAAGAGCAACAAAGAGGATTAGGGGACTGGAGGCTAAAACATATGAAGAACAGTTGCAAGAATTGGGTAGGGCTAGTTAGAACCATTAACCAGTGGAACAATTTGCCTCCAGAAGTCGTAAATGCTCCAATACTGGAAGTTTTGAAGAAGAGATTAGACAACCATTTGTCTGAAATGTTACAGGGTTTCCCACCTGAGCAGGAGGATAGACTAGAAGACCTCCAAGGGCCTTTCCAGCTCTTATTATTCTGCTATCTCTGTTCAATTGAATCCTGCGTCTGGGTATCGACACCTCTTCTCTCTTGCAGTCCCGCCTGTTCTTCACTCTCGTTGTGTTGTGTGCCAGCGGCATCCTTTACTTCCTGCTGTGCCCACGCCTTTGTAGTTCCCTCTGTTGGCTCAGCTGCCAGCCTAAAGAAAGAAAGGAGGACAGGTTGGCACAGCGTTTTAAAACTGCCCACTTCGAGGGCTACATCAGCGTTCCAGATGGAAAGGTGAGCCTGGCCTCAAGATTAGGAGCAAAGGCAGTTTGGATGCAACTTGGGCTAGGAAGCCCTTGCAATCAAACTCGGGAACACCCCGCCCCCCAAAAAACCCAAGATAAATACATTTTGAAATGGCCCTTCGATGCTAATTTTCTCCTTGCAAAATAGGAGATTCATAGGAGAAGCAGTTTAAATATGAGACTGCCGCACAGATGCATAAGAAAAGCTTTTTGATAACACAGGAGCTCTTATCTGGGTATTAATGCAACCGTTCAGCTACACAAATGGGTGTCCTGAAAAGGCTGTGTGGTGGAGCGCTTGATGTGGCATGTCAGCCAATCCCAATAAAGCCTTTTTGGCAACATCCAGCCAGAAAAAAAAAGTGATGTTCATTGATTATGGTGCTTAATTTCGGCGACTTCAAGATGTGTGGACTTCAACTCCCAGAATTCCCCAGCCAGGGGAATTGTGGGAGCTGAAATCCATCCAATCTTTATATATTTTGTTCCTCTTTCATTATTTTCTTTCTTCCCCTTTTCAATATTAGAAGTAATCCTTTGTTCCCTCTTTCCTTCCTTCCTTCCTTCCTACAAAATTTGAAGTTCATTGGTTATAGCGGCATTGCTTGTATCTTTACAATTTATATTGTTTTATTTGTTCCCTGTATGATTTGATTTGCTTATGAGTAACATGTCTATCGCTAAGTGTTGTATCTTATGATTCTTGATAAATGTATATTTTTCTTTTTATGTACACTGAGAGCATATGCACCAAAGACAAATTCCTCATGTGTCTAATCACACTTGGCCAATAATTCAATTCTCTTCTCTTCTCTTCTCTTCTCTTCTCTTCTCTTCTCTTCTATTCTATTCTATTCTATTCTAATGTCTATTCTATTCAATTTTACTTTACTTTACTTTTCTTTATCTTTCTTCTCCTGGTTAGCCCCTGGCTCAAGTGCCCTGCCGCCAATGTGCCGTGGTGTCCAGTTCCGGGCAGATGCTGGGCTCCCGTTCGGGGAAAGAGATCGACGCCAAGGAATGCGTCCTGCGCATGAACCAGGCCCCCACCCGGGGCTATGAGGAAGACGTGGGCAGCCGCAGCACCGTCCGGGTGGTCTCCCACACCAGCATCCCTTTGCTGCTACGCAACCAGAGCTCCTTCTTCAAGCCATCCTGCGACACCACCTACATCATTTGGGGTCCTCCCCGGCTGATGAACCGGGAGAAGGTCGGGCTGGTCTATCGGACCCTGGCGAAGATCAAGGAGATGTATCCGGCTTTGCGCCTCTACACCCTCACCGAGCAAATGATGTCCCACTGCGATGAGCTCTTCCAACTGGAGACGGGGAAAAACAGGTGAGGAGAAGGCCTTCTCGCTAAGGAAGGAGCAGCAAAGCCCGGGGTAGAATTCCCAGCTTCCATTCCTGGTGGAAAAAGTTGAGATTCTTCTTTCCACCAAGAATGGAAGCTGGGAATCCTTAGTAAGGCCACACCTAGAGTACTGCATCCAGTTTTGGTCAGCACACTATAAAAAGGATGTTGAGATTCTAGAAAGAGGTCAGAGAAGAACAACCAGGATGATTAGGGGACTGGAGGATAAAACATACGATAAATGGTTGCAAGAACTGGGCCTGGATAGTCTAGGGAAGAGAAGGACCAGGGGAGACAGGAGAGCATCTTCCAATATTTTGGGGGCTGCCCCAAAGAGGAGGGGGGTCATGCTGTCTTCCAAAGCACCTGAAGGCCAGGCAAGGAATAATGGATGGAAACTGACCAAGGAGAGATTCAACCTGGAAATAAGGAGACATTTTCTGACAGGGAGAGCAATCAACCAGTGGAACACAAGTTGCCTTCAGAAGTTGTGGGAGCTTCATCCCTGGAGGCTTTCAAGAAGAGACTGGACTGCCACTTGTCAGAAATAGTGTGGGGTCTCCTGTTTGGGTGGGGGGTTGGATTGGATGACCTACAAGGTCCCTTCCAACTCTGTGAATCTGTTAAAGATCTTGGGGGCTTTAGGAGAGTCACCTAGCTATCCATAATTGTAGACGTTTCCTTTTTCTCCAGAAGTCCAACCCCCTTCCCAAGCAGGAGACCATACCCCATTTCTGACAGATGGCAGTCCAGTTTCTTCTTAAAAAACCTCCAGGGATGAAGCTCCCACCACTTCTGAAGGCAACTTCTGTTCCATCAGTTGATTGCTCTCACTGTCAGGAAATTTCTCCTTATTTCCAAGTTGAATCTCTCCTTGTTCAGTTTCCATCCATTATTCCTTGTCTGGCCTTCCGGTGCTTTGGAAAATAGCTTGACCCTCCCTCTTCTCTGGGGCATCCCCTCAAATATTGGAAGACTGCTGTCATATCTTATGGACAAGGATTTTGATATATGGAGAGACCCCTCCCCAGAATTTTGGCTCTGGCAGTGCAAGGAAAAGCAGTCTCTGCCTTCGGAGAGATTACACAGGTGGTCCTCGGCGTACAAGCACAATAGGAAGTTTGCTATGTTTTATAAACCCCACAGTCACTTCTTCATTGGCCCAGATCACAGCAGGCTTCTACCACTGACTATGATTAAACAAACCAGGGCTTAGCTCCGTAGGCAAACCCAACAACCAGCGCATCTGCGTTCCTCCTGCCTCAAATCTCAGTATCTTCTCTTTCCGACCCACAGGATGAAATCCGGTTCCTTTCTCAGTACTGGCTGGTTCACCATGGTTTTGGCGATGGAGTTGTGTGAGCAGATTTTTGTCTTCGGTATGGTCAGCGAGAACCATTGCAAGTAGGTAATTTGGAGGTGGTCTTCTGGGCTGGGAAGCCAAAGGAGAAGATGAGACTATCCTTCTCTGTGTCCCTTACCTCTTGGGAGGCTACGCTTTTGAGCTCTGGTGGCCAGGGTGGAGAGTTGGAGAACATCTCGGAGATGTTCTCCAAAAAAGGCCACCCCAAAACACCCATTTCTTAGAAGACACAAAGAGGGGGAGGCTGTATCAAAAGGATAAACTCTTCCCCGGGTAAATATCTCTGGAGATTCTCTGTCATCCAGGCCATGTTTTGTCCCAAAGGTGTTTTTTTCAAAAGACGTTTTTTTCCTTGAAGACGTTTCGCTTCTCGTCCAAGAAGCTTCTTCAGTTCTTCAGAAGGCAACTGGACTCTGTTCTTCCTTGAAGACGTTTTGCTTCTCATCCGAGAAGCTTCTTCAGTTCTGACTGAAGAAGCTTCTTGGATGAGAAGCGAAGAAGCTTCTTGGATGAGAAGCGAAGAAGCTTCTTGGATGAGAAGCGAAGAAGCTTCTTGGACGAGAAGCGAAGAAGCTTCTTGGATGAGAAGCGAAAAGTCTTCGAGGAAAAACAAAGAAAGCCCAGTTGCCTTTTGGGGAAAAAAAAGCACTTTTGGGCCTTTCCCGGGTAAGGATAACCCCCCACCCCCCAAAAAACCTTTCTCTCTGAGGCATCAATCAATCATTTTGTTTTATTAATGGCCAGTTATTTCAGGCTGACTTTGGTGGAATGTGCAGCGTTGCATGTCAGCTCTTAACAGGCTGGTCTATATATAGATATATAGTGGTTTAAACTTGGCTCCTTCGATTGGCAGAGAGAGGAACCAACCTCCGGTGCCTTACCACTATTTTGAGAAGGGGCGACTGGACGAATGCCGGATGTACCAGGTCCACGAACGAGCTGCCCGCGGTGGGCACCGTTTCATCACCGAGAAAGCCATTTTTTCTCGCTGGGCAAAGAAAAGGAACATTATCTTCACTCATCCATCGTGGTCTGATGGGTAGAAGGGGCTTTTTGCAGCCTGGCTGAGCGGAAACTTTTGCCACAGGGCGAAGCTGCGGAAATTACAGTGTTAACAGAAAGTTGGAACTTTTGCACCGAGAGCGACGTTTCCCCGTGAACAAAATATCACCGCATCTTCTTCTCTTAGCTCCCTATTTTTTAACGTTCTGTCAAGAGACCGCAAATTGTTTTGTTTTTAATTTTCCTCTGTGCAGCTAGTTTTTTGTGGGGTGATTTTTTATTTTTATTTTTGCACACAGAAAAGAAGAAAAGAAAAAGGAAACTACTCTTAATGAAAACGGGAGGCCAGGGGTTCAAAGCTTCCTGTTTTGGGGTGGATTCCGGAGGCTTGAATGCAGAAGAAACAGATGTTGACATTTTTGCCCGTTTGCAAACCCTCCTTTAAACTTTAAATTTTAAATTTGCAACCCACGAAAGCCTTTGAGAGAGAGATGTCCTCCTCTGCGGAACACTCCTACCCTGCTTTTAATTTGGCCAGGTTTGCAATTCTGGGGGCAGAACCAGAGGAAGGAAATCCAGGTACTTAAAAGTCAAAAAAAAAAAAAAACCCAACAACTACTTTGTTGGCGCAAGCACTTTAACTAAACCAGTTTACAATGGTTTGTACAGCTTAGGGAGGCCTAAGGTGGCTTTTTCCATAGTGACATCCCCCATTCCAATGGTCTCTTTACCCCTCGCCTGAGCCCAGAGTTCAGGATAGGTCGTCCTCCAATTACGACCACATGTGGGAGCGGAATGTCCGTGGCTAAGCAAGGCAGGGGCTTAAAGGGCTTGCCTCCGATCCCGAAATGTCTCTTCCCACCCACCGCCACTCCCCGTGGTTGTAAAGCCAATCAAGTGACTCACTTGGTCATGGAGCAAAGCTAGTTTCCCCCTACTTGGTTGCCCGGCACCCACCTTTTGATCCTGGAGGAGGGGGCATGATGCTGTGACGGGGGCATGTCGGCTCCAGGTTGGCCATCCCTGTTCGGTCGTCTGTGGCCGATGGTTTGAGGGTAGCGGCCGCAAAAACTGGGGTGGGAATAATTTGAAGAATTTGGTGGGGGGCGGGCGGGTTAGAACAGCATCCTGAAGTCCCTTCAGTGGAAATTCAACTGTGGCTTGAAAATAAATTTTCAATAAATTTGGTTTATTCTTCTGCCTCTTGCTTGTTTTCCTCCTCTTCCCCTTCCCCTTTTCCTTCCTTCTTTCCTTCCCCTCTTCCCTGCCCTTCCTCTCCTCTCCTTCCTTATTTTCTTCCCCCCTTCCCTGTCCTTCCTCTCCTCTTTCCTTCCCTCCCTCCTCCTCCTTCCCTGCCCCTCGTTTTCTTCCTTCCCTCCCTCCTTCCTTCCTTCCCTTTCCCCTTTCTTGCCCCTCATTTCCTTCCTTCCCTCAGTCCCTAAATTCATTCTAATTTTAGTTCCATGAAATTGAACTTAAGGCTTGGGGAAGAAGGAGACCAGCTGGGAATCTCTCTCTTTTTTCTTTCTTTCTTTCTTCTTTCTCTTTTTCTCTTAACTCTTCCTTTCCTTTCCCAACTCCTTCCTTCCCTCTCACTCCTTCCCTCCCTCCCCCTTCCTTCCTTCTTCTCTCTCTTTTTCTTCCTTCTTTCCTTTCTCTTTCCCACTTTCTCTCGGTTCATTCCTTCCTTTTCTCTTTTCTCTTTCTTTCTTTTCTTTATCTTTCTTTCTTACTAAATTATTTTCTCATTCATTCATTCAACTTGTGTGCTGCCTATCTCAATGCAAGCTGACTCTTTTCTTTCTTTTTCTTTCTTTCTCTCCTGCTCTCTTTTCTTCTTTCTCTCTTTCTCTTTCTTTCCCTTGCCTTTCTGCAAACTGGATTACTCAAGGCGTATGTGGGAATCTTCCCTCTGTCTGTGCGTGCCTGTGTTTGCACTCATCCGTACTCTTCGTCCACTCACATGGCTTCCTCAGTTCCTCGCCTTCCATTCTTTGTCTGCTGCCAGTCACCAATATTTGTGGATTAGTGCCAAAACCGATAAACTTTTGCACCCAAGGTTTGCTGGGTTTGTTGTGCACATCTGTTTGTATTCCAGTTTTTCGGACAGTTTCAACGGGGCAGAGATAAACCATGGCTTGTTAGCTTATGTTTTGTTAGGTTCAACTTTAGCTGGTTTGCATGCAACCATTTTCACATTCTGAGTGCTTTTTAAACTCAGGATTTCTCTTTGTCTTGTTACAGTTTTCTGGATTTGACTCAAAGGCACATTATATTAGCCAGTTCTTATTCCTCCTCCTCTTCCTTTTTTTGCAAAATCTGAATAGTTGCCAGTTGGAAAGATATTCCTTATAACTGGCATCAACCACTTCTGAGTCATTAGCTCTCTAGAAATAAAAACTGAATTAAAAGAATTGCTCAAACTCAGCTCAAACCACCGGAATAAACCAGGCAAGGGGATCAGACGAAAGATTTGATGGGGAAAGGGGACTGCAACTCCCATCATCCTTGATTAAGGCCTCATTTTTGGGAACCTGCCAGGGGCTCCCCAAACTCCTAAATTTTTTGGGGAGGGGGTGGGGAATGCGATGATGAAGAGATTAAAGGTTGCTTTATTTTACTTCCAAGCAGGAATTTATGAAGCTGTTTTGCTCCCTCGTTTCTGGTTTTTAAATCAAACTTGTGAGCCCAGAATTGCTGCATCGGTGGGATGAGAACAGACCATCTTTTGTTGGAGGTTAAAAAGAGGCAAAACAAGACATTCCTTTGGCATTTGAAATTTGTGGAATTTGCAAGCCTTGTGTAGTTTGGTCAATCCCTAAAAACAAATCTGCTATTTGCAACCCTGTGAACAGCAGCCAGCTTCGAGTCTTTGAACCAAGACAATTTTCTAAACAATAGTTTTGTGTGAAACTGCGTGTTTACAAGTGTGGGCTATAAATGCCTTTCCTTTTTTTTTTTAAACTAGAAAAAAATCCCAGTCTTATCCCTTGGTAAGCCTATTTTAACCAGCACAGAGATCTGCAAGAAGTGATCCACGTTTCTATGGCAACTGAATTTGGAAAGAAGAAGAGAGGATATAACAAATCCTTTCTGAACAAGAAAAAAAAAAGCTGCTTTTTAGATGTCTCAAAAATTTTTTTCCAACAGTCTTCTAAAGGCAAGTCGTTCCACTGATTAATTACTCAGAATAACAGAGTTGGAAGGGACCTTATAAGTCATCTAGTCCAACCCCCTGCCCAAGCAAATGGCAGTCCGGTCTCTTCTTGAAAGCTTCCAGGGATGAAGCTCCCACAACTTCTGAAGGCAACTTCTGTTCCATTGGTGGATTTTTCTCACTGTCAGGAAATTCCTCCTTATTTCCAGGTTGAATCTCTCCTTGTTCAGTTTCCATCCATTATTCCTTGTCTGGCCTTTGGGTGCCTTGGAGAATAGCTTGACCCCTTCCTCCTCTCTGTGGCAGCCCTGGCTGTCACGAAATTTTCTCCTTAGTTCAAGGAGAGCAGCAACCTAGAACTAAAGATAAATTTGCTGGCAGTGAGAACAATTCATCAGTGGAACGACTTGCCTCCAGAACTCGTAAATGCTCCAACACTGGAGGTTTTTAAGAAAAGATTGGATAACCATTTATCTGAAACAGTACGGAGTTTCCCGCGTGAGCAGGGGTTGGACTAGAAGGCCTCCAAGGATCCTTCCCATTCTGTTATTCTGCCTTGCAATAAAATTTAAGAAGATCCAGAAAATGCAGTCTTTCAGTTTTAGGAATGTCTAGTAGTTGTAATAACCTAGGAGGTAGTAGTTCTTGACTTACGATGAGTCACTTAACAACCATCTGAAGTTGCGAAGGACTTCCACGGGGTTACTTATAACTCATTTTCTTCCAAAGGATTTCAGTCTTTCAGCCAGAAGAGAAATGCAACAGGCTGTTAGTCCAGCTTGAATCAGCTCTTTTATTATGAACAACGAGGACTAGAATATTGATCAGTTTAGGGTGAAACGTAGTAGTTTGGATATTGCCTGCTGAAACACCCCTTTTTTCCCAATCCTTGGGTGGGTGGTTACCTCTGTCTGCAGGGGGATTTGACAATTGAACCAAGAATTTTGAGTCAATCCAAGATATATTGTCCTGTTCCCACAACGTCTCTGCACAGAATGCGAAGGATGTGTGTTAATGTACCCTGAAGATGGCATTTAAATTTCGTTGTACCAGGTGCAATGACAATAAAGTCAACTAAATTAGTCTGAAAAGTTCAGGATCGCCAGAGATAGGTAGCAAATAAATTTCCTAAATAGGTTTTACATCTGCAGACAAATGGTTTCTACAGTTCAGTGTTTAATATAGGTTATTCTTGACTTACATCACTAAGGATCCCACGGTGCTATGTTTGCTTAGCATTAGCAAATGGGATAATGTGTGTTCAATCAAATAATCTATCAAAATACAGCTGGAAGGGACCTTAGAGGTCTTTTAGTCCAGCCCACTACTCAAGCAGGAAATCCTATACCATTTCAGACAAGGGGCTGTCCAGTCTCTTCTTAAAAACCTTCAGTGATGAAGCGCCCACAACTTCTGAAGGCAACTTCTGTTCCACCGATTAATGACCCCCTCCCCTTTGGGGGCAGCCCCTCAAATACTGGAAGGCTGCTGTTGTGTTATCTTTCTTTAAACAGAATTTGCCTTACGGGGTCCCATTTCCGAAACTCCCGTTCCAAGTGGTTAAGTCTTCTCCCTCTTTCTCTAGACTAGCCAAACCCAACTCCTTGCAGTCGTTCTTCACATATTTTAGTCTCCTTTTTAAAATCTTACACTTAGCATGGGGAGTAATCCCCATCCAGTTTGCTCAAGGCAGGTATGAACAAGCTGTCCAGCCCCAGAAAAAAAAGAGAGAGAGAGAGAGAGAGAATAGATTTAGAATTCCTGGGTTTAAAAAACAATAACATGTGGATTATTGTGACCTCCGCAAACGGGGCTTGAGATCTGCCTGCTTGGCACACTTCGATATCCATCCATCCATCCCCATCTGCGTCAGCCTGAAATCCTTTTGTCCAACCAGACAAGAAACAGAAAAAGAGAGAGAGAGAGAGAGAGAGAGAGCCAAAAAACCTGGGAACAAGCTGGCCGTTTTCTCGGCACGTTCTCCAGCAGCTGCCATCCCTTGGAAGGCCAATCCTTGGCGTTCCCCTTTTGGAAGCTGTTGAAATTGGATCAGGGCACAGGAGGAGGAGGAGGAGGAGGAGGAGGAGGAGGAAGAAGAAGAGGGAAAGCAAAGAGGGGGAGGAAAAAGACGCACACTAGGACCCAGAAAATAGTCCTGCCTTCCAGATTTTCTCACTGGATGCTTTGCTACGGTCTTCCTTCCGAGATGCACTGCCCCTAAGACAGGGGGGTCCAGCTTTGGAGCAGAGGAGGGGGGAAAGGACAGAAGAGAGAGACACCCCCCCCTCAACCCCAATTTTTGCTTTCTGGAATTTGGAGCTGGCTTGGAGGCACCCCAAAAATGCCAGCTTGGTCTTTGCCCTTTTAATTCCTCCGCTCCCTGGCGCTGGGTGGCTGGACCAGCGGGTGAGTTAACCCCTCCAGGGCCTTGCCCAGAAGACTGGATTTTTGGGGGGGGGGTGGGGGGGGGGGGTGGATCAGGAAGGGGAAACCCACCCCCCACCCCCACTGGAGGAAATCAGAATCCTGGCATCCATCTACCTAATTTCCACCCCACCCCCCATTGGAACAGGAAGTCTCAGGGTAGTCAATCCCCTTGTTTTGGGAGCGGTGTGCAGAGGAATGGGTGGAGGAGCTGGAAAGATTTGCACCTGGTAAAGCCTTTAAAATGCACACAAAAAAGACCCCCCCAACACCCCACCGCTTGCAATGCCCAGAATTCAGAAGAAAAAAAAAGGGGGCACGCGCAGGTTTGCCAAGGCAAGGGAAGGAAGCTGGGTGGGTGGCATGCCTGAACCAGTTTTGGGGTGAGGAAAGGAGGCGATCCCCAAAGATTGGGGTACAGAAGCTCCCCAGATCTTGGGATCGCTCTTTTGGGGCAGGCAGGCAGGCAGGCAGGCAGGCAGGGGCTTGGCGTTTTGGACGGTGAGGGCTGCCTGGGCATTTCCTGGAAGGCTGAAGGGGCCGGGCGCCCTCTCTCCGCTTCCGAGAACCAGCGGCTTTGCTTAAGATGGATGCTGGCAGCAGCGGGGGGAAAAGGGGGGGTGGGGGGGTTGGAAAGCTTGGCCTGAGTGATTTGTTCCTCTTGAGCCAAAGGAAGTATTTTCTGTGTCAAGCGGTTGGTTAATTGATGTCCCCCCCACCCCCCAGACAATGTGGGTCTCACATTCAGTTACAGTTCAGTTGAGGAGGGAGAAGAGATTGTAATATGTCTATTTCTAAAAGTTCTATTTCTATTGTTTCTATTCTATTTCTATTCCTTATTTCTATTCCTTATTTCTATTTCTATTCTATTTCTATTTCCTTCCACCACCACCCAACCTTCCTTCCTTCCTTCCCTTTCTTTCTTTTCTTTCTTCCTTCCTTTCTCTTTTTCTCTCCTTCCCTCTTTTTTTCTCTTTTTCTTTCTTTCTTTCTTGTCCTGAATAGGATAGTCTCCTGTTTGATCAGGAGGATGCACTAAAAGTCCTCCAAGGGCCCCTTCAACTCTGTTATATAATTTCTGTTACTGTTGTTTCTTTCCTTCCTCCCTCTTTATTCTTTATTTTATTTTATTTTCTTTCTTTCCTTCCCTCCCTCTTTCTCTCTGTCTCTCTTTCTTTCCTTCCTTCCCTCCTTCTCTCCCTCCCCTTTCTTTCTTTCTTTCTTTCTTTCTTTCTTTCTTTCTTTCTTTCTTTCTTTCTTTC